AATTGGCATGGACATGGAAAAAAAGAAACTCTGTGCACTGTTGGTGAGAATGCAAACTGGTTAGAGATAGTGGGAAAATGTATGAAAGTTCCTTAAAAGTTACAAATAGAACTATCATACCAGTCAGGCATTCCACTTTTGGGATATATCTAAAGAAAATGAAAACAGAATCTTGTAGGATATCTGCACCCCCAAGTTCATTGTTCATTGTAGTTCAGTTCAGTTCACTTCAGTCGCTCAGTCATGTCCAACTCTTTGCAACCCTGTGAACCACAGCACACCAAGCCTCCCTGTGCATCACCAGTGCCCGGAGTTCAGCCAAACTCATGTCCATTGAGTCGGTGATGTCATCCAACCGTATCATCCTCCATCATCCCCTTCTCCTCCTAACCTCAATCTTTCCCAGCGTCAGGGTCTTTTCAAATGAGTCAGCTTTTCGCATCAGGTGGCCAAAGTATTGGAGTTTCAGATTCAACATCAGTCCTTCCAATGAATATTCAGGACTGATTTCCTTTAGGATGGACTGGTTGGATCTCCCTGCAGTCCAAGGGACTCTCAAGAGTCTTCTCCAACACCACAGTTCAAAAGCATCAATTCTTCGGTGCTCAGCTTTCTTCACCGTCCAACTCTCACATCCATATATGATCACTGGAAAAACAATAGCCTTGACTAGATGGACCTTTGTTGGCAAAGTAATATCTTTGCTTTTTAAAATGATATCTATGTTGGTCATAACTTTCCTTCCAGGGAGTAAGCATCTTTTCATTTCATGGCTGCAATCACCATTGCACTGATTTTGAAGCCCAAAAAAATAAAGCCTAACACTGTTTCCACTGTTTCCCCATCTATTTGCCATGAAGTGATGGGACCAGATGCCATGATCTTAGTTTTCTGAATGTTGAGCTTTAAGAAAACTTTTTCAATCCCTTCTTTCACTTTCATCAAGAGGGTCTTTAGTTCTTCCTCACTTTCTGCCATAAGTGTGGTTTCATCTGCATATCTGAGGTTATTGATATTTCTCCCGGCAATCTTGATTCCAGGTTGGGCTTCTTCCAGTCCAGCATTTCTCATGATGTACTCTGCATATAAGTTAAATAAGGGTGACAATATACAGCCTTGATGTACTCCTTTTCCTATTTGGAACCAGTCTGTTGTTCCCTGTCCAGTTCTAACTGTTGTTTCCTGACCTGCATACAGGTTTCTCAAGAGGCAAGTCAGGTGTTCTGCTATTCCCATCTCTTGAAGAATTTTCCACAGTTTATTGTGATCCACACAGTCAAAGGCTTTGGCATAGTCAATAAAGCAGAAATAGATGTTTTTCTGGGACTCTCTTGCTTTTTTGATGATCCAGTATATCTTGGCAATTTGATCTCTGGTTTCTCTGCCTTTTCTAAAACCATCTTGAACATCTGGAAGTCCATGTTTCATGTATTGCTGAAGCCTGACTTGAAGAATTTTGAGCATTAGTTTCCTAGCATGTGAGATAAGTGCAATTGTGCAGTAGTTTGAGCATTCTTTGGTATTGTCTTTCTTTGAGATTGGAATGAAAACTGACCTTTTCCAGTCCTGTGGCCACTGCTGAGTTTTCCAAATTTGCTGGCATATTGAGTGCAGCACTTTCACAGCATCATCTTTCAAATAGCTCAACTGGAATTCCATCACCTCCACTAGCTTTTTGCATAGTGATACTTCCTAAGGGCCACTTGACTTCACATTCCAGGATTTCTGGCTCTAGGTGAGTGATCACACCATCGTGACTATCTGGGTCATGAAGATATTTTTTGTACAGTTCTTCTGTGTATTCTTGCCACCTCTTCTTAATAGCTTCTGCTTCTGTTAGGTCCATACCATTTCTGTCCTTTATTGAGCCCATCTTTGCATATGTATATATATTTACATTCACATTTTAGCTAGACATTCACACTACTGCTAAAATCTCACTCATATCCCATTAGAAACTGATCAGAAGTCTGTCAAGTGATTTGGTTAGGTCATCTCAGATGACTGTGATTTTTAGAGAAAACAAGAATTAAAAAAATTTTTTTTAATTACTCATCCCTTATTCTTTTAAAGGACAACAAGCCTTAATATATGTTCAATAGAAGAGATCCACCTTCATTAAAATATTAGCAGCCATAAATTTGAACAGCTCTGTATTTCCAAGCAGGGGAGAACATGTCATCTAGCAATTTCATCTTGTTTAAATATTTCATGATTTTAAGATCTTGTACTGCACACTTCACTCAAAACGTTATAGAGTGAATACAAAGTCGACAATTTTGTTTTTACTTTAAAAATAGTTTTCTTCACTTGATATGAAGAGACTGTATTATTTCATGTTGAAACAAATAAGCATAGAAAATTCTAGAACATATTTTTTTTTCCTTTTTAAAAAAAGATTACAAAAATTTTCCATTATTTGCCAGGGTCTGATTCATGGGAAACTTGGTGAAATACCCACTGTTTTCAATAGGACTGAATTAAATTTCAGAATAGTTTACTAACACAGATATAATCCCAGTATCTTTAAGAATATTGCATTCAAATAAGTGGTGAAGTAGAAAATAAATGTTTTGGTATCTGATATGTAAAACAAACAGTTTGTTGAGCTTTTGTTATTTTATTCAATTTTATATTGTGTTACATTAACATGTCCCATGTATTCTGTTTTTATGTGACAAAGACTTGATTCTTTCATGCCACATGCAAACTTTAGAAAAAATGTAATAAAAACAACAAATCTCACGTCTGTAATAATAATGCTATTATTTCATTTTATTCTTCAGGTATGCATAAGTTTTCCCACTCTTTTGAAAACTGAGTGACATATAAATGACTCATCACCAACTATGAATAGCCCTGTATGTTGTAGAAGATGTATATTAGGACTTTTCTGAATTTTGTAAAATGTAATTAATCCAAAACATGATATCTCAATGCATTTTACTCTAACTCATGTAACAAGAAGTACATATGATCAGCTTATCATTTGATAGCCTGAAATATAATTTAAAGGATAATTTTGAAAATGACCAAGAGACCAATGACAATCCAGAGGAGGAACTGATAGATATTTTTGAGTAATATAAGACTACCTCACATAGTGATCATGGAAAGGTAGAATGCAGATAAGAGAAAGAGAGAAGATACTGAATGCCAGAGAATGAAGAATCAGAAATGCAGAGAGTGGGGATATACTTATTAATTGTGATCACCAGACTGAAGATTAAATTTTTAGCTATTGAGATGTCCATGATAGGGAAAAAAATATTTTTATTTATTTTATGTTATTTTTATGTTGACTGTGCTGGGTCTTCATTGCTACTGCAGGCTTTCTCTAGTTGCAGTATGAGGGCTTCTCATTGAGATGATGTCTCTTGTTGCAGACCACAAGCTCTAGGGAACATGGTTTTCAGTAGTTGTGGCACATGGGCTCTGTAGCGGTGACTCCTGGGCTCCAGAGCACAGGCTCAGTATTAGAGGTGCATGGGCTTAGTTGCTCCACAGCATGTGGGATCTTCCTAGACCAGTGATTGAACCAATGTCCCCTGCATTTCAAGGCAGATTCTTGGCCACTGGACCACTGGGGAAGCCCAGAAGATTATTAAGAAAATTAAACATGACTTCTGACTTTGAAGTATTAAGACATAGAGAAAATAATTTTACCTCTACATGTGACAAGGAGAAGAAATGGAGTGGTGTCCCATCCACAGTCAGAGACTATCCCTCTCTAAGCAAACCGAATGGAAGTGCTGCACTTCAAGGCAAAGCAGAGTCTAGTTTCATGAATTTTAGTTTGAGGAGTGGGGGGAAAATGACAATAAAAATACAAGGTAGAAGACAAGAAGATGTGTTTGTGTGTGCATGTGTGTATTAAACGATATTTCTTTCAGTTTTGACCAGGTTGAGGCTATGATGATAGTAATATAGTAAGCTGAAATTTAGAGATCTAAATTTGTTCAGTTCAGTTCAGTCACTCAGTCATGTCTGACACAGAACTAAATGCACTCCTGTGACCAAGGACAAGCAGAACTGAGAATGGATATGATTATCAGAAAAGGGAGAAACATAGAAATATAGAGTAGGTAGAAGCAAAAGTTGAAGAGGAAGAATGAAATGAAAACAAAAGGGAGTAAGAGCATAAGCAGTCAATCAAATAAGGGAAAGAAGTGTAAGGAAGATCTATAGATAAATATCATTTAGAAATAGGTGCAAACATACAGATAATATAGGTATATGGATATGGATAAGACCATAAATCCAAGTTAAGACTACTTCAATTTATATCTCTTATATTAATGAAATTACTAACAGTTCTCTGCTTCCTCTCAAAAATGTCAAACTTTAGAAGATGAACTTAAAGATCCTGTGAATAAAGGAAGAGATATCCATATATAGAGTAGCATGGTGGTGGTGGTGGTGGGTTAAGTTGCTAGGTCGTGTCTGACTTTTGGGACCCCTTGGACTCTAGCCCATCAGGTTCCTCTGTCCATGAGATTTCCCAAGCAAGAATATTGGAGTGGGTTGCCATTTCCTTCTGCAGGGGATCTTCCCGACCCAGGGATCAAACCCAGGTCTCTTGCATTGCAGGCAGATTCTTTACCAAATGAGCCACCAGAGAAGCCCCATAGAGAAGTATAAGATTATATGCATTTGCACCTGTGTGAAATTTTCTAAGTATATGCAAGTATGCATTTCATATAAGTGTTCCATGTATTCATTCTAAAATAAGCACTGAGACCTTCCCTTTTAACACTAGACTTGCTGTAAACATACTTTCTGATATAAGAGCCTTCTGATTGCTCCTTTCACCTCTGTGTTTCTCATGCTATAGATCATGGGGTTTAACATTGGAGTAATAATTCCATATAACATGGAGATGAGTCTGTCTCTTGCTGGGAAGTGTTGACTGGAAAAGGGACGTACATAGGTAAATATTGTCGTGCCACCAAATAAACAAACCACCAGAAGGTGGGAAGCACATGTGGAAAAGGCTTTACGCTTCCCTTCTGCTGACTGGATCTTTAGGATGGTAGATATGATGTAGAAATAAGAGATAAAGATGACCAGGAAGGCACTGCTCCCCAGTATGCCTGCTTCCACCAAAATAAGCATTTCTGCCACATAGGTGGATGAGCACGAGAGAGCGACCACGGGTGGGATGTCACAGTAGTACTGGTTAACTTGGTTGGACTTGCAGAAAGAAAGGTGGAATGTGGACACTGTATGAAGAAGGGAATTGAGAAACCCTGCTACCCAAGTCCCAGCAGTCAGCTGAACACAGCGAACCTTGGTAATGATGAGGGTGTAACGAAGAGGGAAACAGATGGCCACATACCTGTCATAAGCCATGACAGAGAGAAGGAAGACTTCAGTTCCCACAAGGGCCACCAGAAAGTAAAGTTGCAAAGCACACCCAATGTAAGAAATGCTGTGCTTCTCAGTCAAGAGGTTCTCCAGCATCTTGGGGACAGTAACTGATGGGCAGGATATGTCTAAGAGGGACAGATTTGCCAAAAAGTAATACATGGGTGTGTGCAGTTTTTTCTCAGTTCCAATGGCCAAGAGAATAACTCCATTTCCCACCAAGGTGACCTGATAGATGATGGTAAAGACCACAAAGAGAGGGTAGCGTACCTCGGGGCGATCAGAAAGCCCTATGAGGATAAAATGAGTCACTGTGGTTTGATTGCAGATGCCCATCTCTTCAATTCACATCGGTCTTTCTAGAAGTAATGTAACAAAGATGAATTAGAGCAAAAAGTCAAAGAGGCGAACAATGAGAAATTCTTGCAGAACACATGGTGTGAGGTTGATCATGAATTATGTAAAATCATATCTTATTAGAGATTTTCATTATTATAAATCCTGTTAAATATATCTCCTGTGTTCATAATTCTTGAAAGATTTATCCTCAGTGGATCCTTGTCAAGGGGAATCCCTCTGAGAAAGTAAGAATACTTTTAAAAATTTGCCTTCAGTAATACCATTGTAGATTCTTCAGGAATGCTTGAGATTTCACAATTCAGTAACACTAAAGTTCTGTTTCTCACATCTCCTTGGGCATTTATCTTATTTTGCCTTGTATTATCTCAATGTGTATAATTTTATACACTATCTCAACACAAACTGTTTGAGGGTAGAAGCTATATATTATTCCTTGGTATGTAAAATTTAATATCTGCTACCAACCTCAAATATATCATATAAAAATGTTTATCTAAATTATTGGTGAATAAAGGAATAAATGTTTTACTTGTATCGTATGAGAATTTTTATCTAAATAGTTCTTGAATAAAAGAATGAGTGAGGCTTTACCTGCTCTGACAAAATGTTTCTATTAGTAAGAAATAAATATGGAAACACTTTTGTAACTTCAAAGTTGTAGTTGTTTAAATACAAGCAACTATGTATTTTCCAGAAAGAGTATACCTTATATGATTAAGTTAGCCTATAAAATATAAATATGACTTGGTTGATAGTGTCTGACTGTCACCCAAAAAAGAAACAAATGCATTCATTAATATTCAATTTCTTTTCCTTTTAAAGTTTAAATAGTTGACCATGTGTCTGAGTATTTAAAGAATTATGAAGTTGCAAAAGTTAAATATGCTTGAACATACTGCTAATACCAAGTCTCCTGCATTGCAGGCAGATTCTTCACCATCTGAGCCACAGGGAAACCCATTGGTGATACCAATTCTTATTTAATTTTCTAATTTCATTTCTATGTATCTTAATAATCCACATAATCATCCAGTTTATGATATTTACAAAAATTATTTTAATTGAAAATCTACAAATCAATATCTCTGTGGATTTTGTCACTTTGCAAACTTTTAAAATATCATATGCATATATTATAGAAAAATGTAATTACAAAATAAAATAAAAAGTCATTTGTGGTGCCCCCCTCCTTCACATTTATTGTGCCAACTGAAAGCTGTTAATTTATTTCTGAAATAAAATATATTAATATAAATAGCACTATTATACACAATGATTTATTTATATGCATTAAATGAAATTTATTTCAGCCACCTTTTCCCCATACAATGTTTAAATAAAAATCTTTGAGACACTTTGGGAAATATTTTTACTCTTTCTACAAGCAACACCAGAACTATACCATGCTTGGGAGAAAAAAAAAAACTTTTATCAATAATTCTCAAATCATGACATTTAGAAAATAAGATTACTGTGATAATCACAAAGTATCTATAATTTTCAATCTATAGAAGACTTTTAATGAATGAGTTAAAATGTCAAAACAAAAACATCTAATGTGTCACTTCTCAAATTCTCAAATTTTCAGTAGCCTATTGTGCTGTTCAATTTCAGTCTACAGTTAATATTTTAAAAATAATATAGTCAGTTCAATAAATTTTTGAAGGAACTTTATAAGAAAATATTTTGAGATAGTGAATATTAATTTCTATACTAAGTACTCATTTTTCTTTATATCCATACTCACTAATTTGTTTCATTTTTTGCAAGGATTATGAAAAATAAGTCAAAATCATCCTGACAAACACATAAGGTAGTTCTACATAAGGATACATAATCAACACACATCTTTTAAAACATAATGAAGTGAAGTGAAGTCACTCAGTCGTGTCTGACTCTTTGTGACCCCATGGACTATAACCCTCCAGGCTCCTCCATCCATGGGATTTTCCAGGCAAGAGTACTTGAGTGGGTTGTCATTTCCTTCTCCATTAAAACATAATAGATTTTTGCTAAACTTTGCACTTTATTGTTTAAGTACCTTAAGTCAAGCTTAGGGTCTTGGCATATAGAATGCAGAATTTGTTCATTTGGGAAGGAAACTTTTGCTCATTTTAACAATACACTTCTTTTAAATCAAACATATTTAAAGTTTAGGTGTTTGATATCTAAATAGAAAAGCGAGCTTTTTAATTTAATTAATATATTGCTGAGGATGAAGTTCTGTAACATTTTGTATTAATCTAGGAGATTGGGTTAATAAAAAGAAAGAAATTCTCATGAAGTGTGATCTGTCACCTGGTTTGTGAAGTTAATTGGTGTAAATATAAGCATATGAGTACATGAAGAGAATACAGGTTGAAATTACTTTTTTGTCATAAGCAGCCAAACATAGAACAGGAACTAAGATGTATGTCATAAGATTAGTCTTCTTTGGAAATTTCTTAGAAAACAAACTTTATTATTATTTGTATATGGCTTACCCTTTTACATATGGTGAAACCAACTGTATCATATATGAAGCTCTTTTCTTTAGCAAATAATCACTTCAAGTTTCAACTACACAGAGGAAAAAAAATTAGTTAATTATTCAGGAATAATCACTGAAAAATGCTAGCTCTTAAGAAAATTCAAAATTTATAAATTATTTAGCATATCAATTACAAAGAAAAATAATATATTTGTTAAAGCTATATTGCTAAATAATAAGTTCTATAGCCTTCATTTTTAATGCATGAAGTAATAGCCAAAATAATAAAGAAAAAAATTCTTGTTACGTATAATATCTCCACCTGCTTTGTGACATCTTTGTTCCTTATGGTTTCATGGACCCAGTTCTAGAGAATGTTCTTTCAGGTAAATGGGTCAGAAACATTGATTAGATTTTCACATTCAGAGGGTTTGGATGCACACTTATGTGGGTATGCACAACTTTTATGACTTAATTTAAAGTATTTATAGAGACATTCATTCTATTATATTTGAAATTTTGCTCTTAATGTTACATGGTATTCAAGTTTAACTATTTTCTTAAATGTATACATTTTCTCAACATCCAATTATTAATCTTAGCTTAAAAAGTCTAGAATTTAATGTACAATTTTTGAGCCTTTTTAGTTTCAGAGGGCTCATTACAAATCCAAACATTCACTAAAAAGAAAGTAAAATGAACTAGCTTTAAAAAAGCTCAGTAAATATAAGCAAGCTACTCACTCCTACATAGGTGTGTACTGCAATTTCCTTTATAGTTTATATTATGCCCACTTTTTCCTTAGGGAGAAAAAACAATAATAAGGACTATAGAGAGCATATACTTCTCTTCTTCATAATCTAAATTACTACCAATCTAACAATGGACACCTGGAGGAAACAAACAAAACCTTGGAGACCAAGGAGAAAGGAGTAGTGACCCCACAAGAGACTGAGCCAGACTTGCTTGTGTTTGGGGGTCTCTGGCAGAGGCGTGGGTTGATAGTGGCAAGGGTGATAGTGGTGGGGGCACTGACAGTAGTGGTCCTGGGAGGTGTGGCATGTTGGCATTAGTCCTTTTGAATGAGGTTGCCATTACTCCTACTATAGGTTGCCCTTAGGCCAAATTATAGGGAGGGAACACAGTCCCACCCATCAGCAGATAATTGGCTTAGAGATTTACTGGGCACCATTTACTTGCCCACCAGAGCAAGACCCAGTTTTCCCCAGTCAGTCCTTCTCATCAGGTAGCTTGCACAAGCCTCTTATCCTCATCCATTAGAGGGCAGACAGAATAAAAACCACAATCACAGAAAACTAACCAAAATGATTACATGGATCACAGAATTGTGGAAGTTAATGAAATTATGGCCCATGCCATGTATGGCCACCCATATGGAGATAGAGAGTATTGTCAAAACCTGATCCCCTGGAGAAGGATATGGCAAACCACATCAGCATTCTTGCCTTGAGAACTCCATGAACAGTATGAAAAGGTAAAAAGATATGACACTGAAAGATGAACTCCACGGGTCAGGAGGTGTCCAATATACTACTGGAAAAGAGCAGAGAAATAGCTCCTGAAGGAATGAACAAACTGAGCCAAAGCAGAAATGACTCCCAGTTCTGGAGGAGTCTGGTGGTGAAAGTAAGGTATGATGTTGTAAAAAACAATATTGCATAGGAACCTTGAATGTTAGGTCCATGAATCAAGGGAAACTGGCAATGGTCAGATAGGAGACTGCAAGAGTGAACACTGACATTTTAGAAATCAATAAATGAAAATGGATGGCAATGAGCTAATTTAATTCAGATGGCCATTATATCTACTACTTGGGCAAGAATACCTTAGAAGAAATGGAGTAACCCTCATAATCAACAAGAGTCCATAATGCAGTACTTGGGTTCAATCTCAAAAAAGACAGAATGATCTCGGTTCATTTCCAAGGCAAACCATTAAATATCACAGTAATCCAAGTTGATGCCCCAACCACTAAATTCTAAGAAGCTGAAGTTGAATGGTTGTATTAGAACCTACAAGACCTTCTACAACTAAAGTCCCAAAAGATGTTCTTTACATTATAAGGGACTGGAAGGCAAGAGCAGGAAGTCAAGAGGTACCTTGAGTAACAGGCAAGTATGGCCTTGGAGTACAAAATGAAGCAGGGCAAATGCTAACAGAGGTTTCCCAAAAGAACACAAAGGTCATTGCAAACACCCTCTTCCAATAACACAAGAGA